CATTTCGACAATAGCCTCTCCCATAATGTCTGTTACAGCAAAAATATTGTAACAGGTTTACTTCCTTGCATAATAATTGCTGATTGGTTTTGTTCTTTATTTGTATGAACATTTTATATTTCTTATTCAAATGTGAGAATATCATTTTCAGCCGAATGCAGCATTGTCATCATCTTCACTAGTCATGCCCATTAGAGGCAACAAACGCAAAAGACTGGAAAGTGTTGCACGGCAGCTAATCTTGGAGAGTCTACAAGAAAATGAAATATTTTGTCCTGAGCCCAAGAAAAAATCTGAAATTGGTAAACTCTCAATTAGTGGATCCTTTCTGGACGCTACTATGTCACCTGATAAATCTTTAGGTATGTGGTGTCCATTTTAATTTATTTATTACACGTGTTTCATTAAACTGTTTCCATACAAAGCAAAATGACTTCTCTTTCTGGAATCAGAAAAATAGAATTATCATGAAATTCTTAAAGCATAAGTTTACCAATGATTTTAAAAATTCACTGCTAGTATGTTTCTGTCTATTATTACGCATAACAGCTGTTAACAATTAACCTCTAAAAATGTATCTAGTTGTGTTTCCTTATATCTATTTTAAAAATAAATTTCTTTTTAATAATCAAATCTAATTATCTTGTTACTTTGATTTTTCTATTAAACAAGCGCTTCTTGTACTAAAATTGTACTTATATCCATTACATAACTGCTAGGTCTCCTGTTTTTAATGAAGACTCCTGTATTTTACAACTATCTCCTATTTACCCGTCTATTCTCAAATTTCTCCATATTTGTTGAAAAAAATTTTAAAAAACAAATTTTGGTGATAAAATATCTGCTGATGGCAAAAATTCTTCTCTTATTCCTCAACAGATGTTGTTATTAAGACCAGTACTGCAGTATGTTGATTGTTTATAGTTAAAGCAATTATAAATAATTGTTTTAAAAAGTCTTCTTTAGATTGAGATGTATATGCATATTTTTTACTTCATAGAATGTAAGTGCTTATATTATTTCTAATTTTGAATTTCACTTTTTGACTTACATGATTATGCATCATGTATCAAAACTTTACTCGCAACCTAAAAATGTCGCTAGTAAAATCTCCGTTATTTTATTTCTCCAATGTAAATGTTAGCAGGTAGTTAGCATATTAAGCACTTTATTTTTCAAAATTGATTCATATTGATCTTAAGCTTAATAATATGTCAATTCCATGTGTTGCAGTCATCAGATAACTTTTTTTAATTTTTGATACTATATGATATCTTCATAAATTTTGCTATGTAGTTATTTATACAACTGTTAGTTAAACATAAAGCGGGATATTACCTTCAGCTGAAAAACATTTTAATTAATATATGTGTGACAGACGTGACAAGAAGATGGACGTAAAAGTGAACAATGTGACATTGCTCTGTAATGATGTATACTGAGTCAGAATTTTTAATTAAACAAAATAATACTTAATCTTACGACATGAAATGATAAAATTTCTAAATTTAAAGAAATGCATTTTACAAATAAATATTTACTACCAGAACTTACCCAAAAGGAATTGTGACAGACATGACACATATCAAATTTTAAACTGTAGTTAACTATTTTTCTTTTTATTTACTATAAAGGAAACTATTAGTATTCTTATGCAAAAAAGGTCGGAACTGGTATATTCTATGAATGAAATACAAATAATAGTACAAATATGCCATTAATTTTTGTTTTTTAATTTTAATATTTTTTTTATTTTTATAAATTTTTAACACTTATATAAATTTTTGACATTCTTAAGAATTTATTAATGTTAGGGCTATTGTGATTTTCACTGTTTTTCCTCTTTTATGTCAGTTGGCATTGAACACTTGATCTATTATTAATTTTCTGTTTTTTGTTATTAGTCCATAAAATGCCTTATTTTTGTTAGTTATAGCATTGAAATAAAATAAAATGAAATACAAATAATAAAACTAAGTACAAATATAGTAACTTTGAAGAGTGCTTAATATTTTCAAGAATTTGTTCATGTTGGGGCTATTATGGTTCTCACTGTTCTTCCTATTTTATACCAAATAACCTGGTCATGATATTTAAATCTATTAAATTCTTCTATGAAGAATTTAGTTGATAGACAAAGAAATATATATAATAGGCAAAGAAATGTATATATTTTTTCTCTCAGATGACAAATTTGATAAAACCAAAAAAAAATTTTGTTTGGACCAGCACCAATAGGATCTCTAAAATTTTGTAGTAATGGAGTATTGGCATGGTAAAAAGAGACAAACTTGAAGTATAAAATGCCTACTCTCCTCTGTGCAGAACACTTTATATTTTAAACTGCAATTGATACGAAGATGTGAAAATAAGGAAATATTTCCCTGAAACCAAATACGACTTTTAAATTTCTTCTAAATTTTAAAAATGTTTTTCATTTTAATAAACAAACTGTTTTGTTTAAATTAGTATATTATAACAATTCTTATGTACACAACTAAAAAATAAATGTGTTGTTTTTTATTTCTATATGTAGAAACATCTACCAGTGAAAATGGTTCAGAAAAAGTCAAAAGTCCAACTCTTGATCTCCGTTCTCTGACACCTAGGCAGCAAGTTTGTTTCGAATTGTTTCAGACTGAAAGCAATTATGTTGGAATTTTGAACACCATCATTACAGTTAGTAACTCTTACTAATTACTTTCTTACCTGCCTAATCTCAACAAATTTTTGCAGGATAGAGAAAAAAAATGAAGTGTAACAGTATTCATTGAAGTGTAACAGTTTTCATTGATAACACTGAATGCTCATTTCGACAATAGCCTCTCAAAAATATAAAAATGAGAAGCATCAAGATTTGTGGTCAATAAAAGATGCATTGTTTTAAAGGAAACGGTGTGGCAGAATTTTTTTAAGCTATCTGCGACTAAACTCTCTGGCAGTAATATCTTTCTACAAGATACTTTTAATACTAACAAACATGTTGCTCATTTAAAATAACAAATACACTGTGTTTACAACAAAAAATAATAATTTTCTTAATTGATCATGTAATAATTTTTTATTCTAATATTATTGGTGATATTCTCACATTTTGTTGGGGAGAAAACTCACATATTATTTACTTTGCATTTTGTACATAATTATCACAATGAAAAAAAAAATTATTAAATATCATGAAATCAGTAGCAGTAATTCCGAAAAAAAAAAAAAAAAAAGGNCCAAAAAAAAAAAGGTCTATGATGAAATCAGGTAAATTAGACTCCTCAAACGCGTATTTCGTTAAGTTGTTGTAATAAATAATATCGTATAAAATATATCGGATTTTAAAACTGTGGAGAAGTCAATAGCAATAACTTCCAAATATTTGATAGAATGTTTGCCTTAAAAAATAAATACTCAGATGCTCGATTTGAATTTTTCAAAATATTTGAAATATATCGGGATGTTTAAAATTCACATGTAAATCAATAACTGCCGAAAATACAATTGAAACGTTACATCAATTTACGATACTATCGGTGTAAATTGAGCATGTCAAAAAGTGATTACCTATATGCATGATTAAAATATTACGTTTAAATTTCTGTAGAAAAGAAAAATCTTTCTGCAAGAACTCTGTAAATTTCTGCGACAATATCGACGTGTCGCTTGCTATTCTGCCACAGGGAAGGGGAAGAACAGATTTTTTTTTAAATCACAGAATATTTCTTTGGTTAGGATGAAGATAACTTGGTTGATGGTTGTTTACACACATTTGTTTTTAAACATAGAGAGTTTAAGAGGGAATAAGGTGAAATTATATTTTTTTTTCTTCTGTGTATCGATGCCAAAACAATTTATCACAATAGCGGGAACATGCAATTATTATATCTTTAATATTAGCATAATGGTGATAACTGGGTACCTTGTTGTGATAGCAGACTTATATGCAATTCTCATTACTTTAATAATTTACTGTAATTCCTGAGTGAAATAAAAAAGTTAATTAAATTTTGAATTCAGCCTCAGGCAGCACTTTACAAGATAATCAGATAGGATGCTTAAAATAAATTAACAAATAATTTTGACAGAACTTATTAATATTTATTTTAGCATACCTTTTTTTTATACAAAAAGCATGGAGATTACCTGTATGTTTTTGAATGTGTTAAAATTTTTCAGGTATTTAAAGAACCATTGGAAAATCCTGATCAAATTGGTGGCATACTATTGGCTCCAGCAGAAATAAAAATAATATTTGGAAATCTCCCACCTATTTATGAAATTCATTTGAAAATTAGAAATGAATTATCAGAGATAATTCACAATTGGAATGATGATCACAGTATTGGCAACTTAATATTAAATCATGTAAGTTACATTTTCGTTGTATAATTACGAATATTGATTAATTAATTTTGTTTGTTTTGACTTAACTTATCTTTTTTTAAGGCACATGAACTTATGAAATCATATCCCCCGTTTGTAAATTTCTTTGAAAAAACCAAAAGCCTTCTGACAACCTGTGATCAAACTAAACCAAGATTCCACGCTTTTTTAAAGGTAATTTTATTAAATTGTTTTGTTGAACATACTTATCAATTTTGTAGGAGATGCTTTTTAATTGAGTTATATCTTTAATTAAAGTTACAGTGATGTCTAAATGTTAAAATGCTGATATAACTTTATTCTGTGTATCTTTTTCTTCTTATTTGCTTATTGAATATGTTATGTAGAAACTAATCTTAGCTGTAATTTAGTATTTTCATTTGAAATTAATGTTCTATTATCTGTAAAAATTCCCTATATTAGTCATTAATATTAAATATGTTGGTTGCGATTGGAATAGAATGAAGAATTTGTACTGATTTTATTTCAAGATTTTTAAAAGGAATCTTATATTAATAAATAACATTTATTAATATAAAAATTTCTGTATTTATGATTAAAAGTAGAATGTTTAGTTGTAATACCTGACATAATAAAATCTGTCTTGTTTTGTTGTCTTATTACTCCTTGAGTAATAAGACAACACACTAGTAACATTTTACTCTGGAATACTACACTAGTAACATTTTACTCTGGAATATTGTTACTATAAAATAATATTGAAGTTTAAGGACTGGTGGAAGCATACCGGAAGGTGTGAATGTTTATTGGTAATTATACTTTGTGAGGCTATTATTCATAAATACTTCTGAATTAAAATTCAATCAAAGTAATTATGTGTTGAGGATAAATTTAATAATTTTTTGTTGAATATTTGACTGTTTAATATTTAGAGGTAAACAGTTCTTTTATCAAGAATATAAAAGCTGATTTAATTTATTCTAAACATATGTAATTATGATTCTTTAGATATATATATAGATAAGGAAAACATGGTTATTCTTCAAAAATGTTTCTGATAACTATTTTGAGTACCTGCAAATTAAGAAAAAAATCCTTTAAAAAAATTTTCAGTCTTAGCTCTAATTGACCACTTTTATTCATGAGTATTTACTATTTGATGCAATGGTTCTTTTGTTTTTTATTATTTTTGCATAGTCTTTAAAGTGCCGTTATTTAATGCTGTTAATGTTTATAAGTAATACAATATTATACAGAAGCAAGAGAATATTGGAACAAGCATTTAAGTAGCCATTTTTGCCACATTTGATTTGGAATTTTTTTGTAAACACTCATTGGTTTTGTTGCCAAGTTTGTTTGTTTTTTTCTGTTGCAGCTATTTCTTTGGATTCTAAACTCATGTCATTCTATGCGATGTCAACTCGTAAAATGTAAAAAAGAGAATAAAATGTTTTTTTCTTCCTAAATACTAGGATATATATTCTTGATGGAAAAAAAATGTATTGGATCAAAAACTTTCTTTCGTTCTCTCTTTACATTTTTTAAATTTTTGTATAAAAATGATAGTCCATTGATTCTTATTTTTTTATTTAATTGAACAGAAATAATCCAGTGTACAAAAAAAAGTACACATTGAGAAAATATTATTTAGTTAGATAGTGAAATTAAAATACCACCATCTATATCTAGTCATGGTTTCTCAAAGTTTTCAGGTAATTTCTTCTCCCATCATTTCTCTTTTATCTATGTGGTTGTAATTTCAGAAGTACCTAGCAACTATCATCATTCTTTCTTTTTTTAAAATAAATACTGCATTGATTAAATAATTTTTTATTAATTTTAGGGATTTATAACCTTTTTTCTTTTTTTTTCCTTTTTTTTTTTTTTTTTTTTTTTTTTTTTTTTTTTTTTTTTTTTGCTACCCACAAAAACTGTAAAATATATATATTTAGACACTTTAAATAATGTATTGTTATTTTTAATTTTTATTCTTTTCAACATGTGTTAAATTCACCTTCTTATTTCAGAGGGTGTGTAGCGTTTTTAAAAAATGCTTGAAGGTGCTTATTTTTGATTTATGTTTTTTAAAGGCCTTTAATGGTGCTTTTTTTATTCAGGTTTTATAAAAATAAAAAAATGCTTTATTTTCTATTTTAAGAGATTTTTTTTCTTTGCCGTGTCTATTATCCTTCTAAATTACAAAAAATGCATGACTTTCACAATATTCTCTGCAATATTTATCAGAAACTAGTTATTTTATCATGATTTTGTAAAGTTTTTAAAAATATTTTTGAATTTTAATGATTTTTTTTTTAAATTAAAAACTTCAAATGAAAGACAAATATTTTTGAGCGCTTTAAAAGTACTTAGAAGGTGCTTATTTTTTGATAAAATATCTGGCTATGCACCCTGTTTAAAGTAATATATATGCTTTCCATTGGCTTTGGTGGTTTTTATGGTAATGAATCAAGGAAATCAGAAAATACAATTACAAAAAAGGAATTTAAAAATCTTTTTTTTTCTTCCCCTAACAAAAATTTTCTCACTAAATAAAGTCTAAATGCTAATACTGGTTTTATTATTAACAAATGAAGTATGTATCTCGAAAATCCCTATTGAAACAAACTTAAAGAGTATGGGTCAAAACCTTAAATAGGGTACAAGTTAGCTGCTTAATCTGTCCCTGGAAAAAAATATGTGCCATTTAAGTTAAAATAGCAAAAACTTCTGAACATGTGTGTAATGTGTTGTGGTGTAATAATCTGGGACAGTTGAATTTTATCTTTAATTTTTTTTACTGAAAAAAGTTGATAACTTTCTAATATGTTTCATTCAATTTATAATTTTTTTTTAAATTTAAATTAGTTTTTTTTTTATTAAATTTTAAATTGCAAACTTATAAAGGTTTTATCTTTTAATTAAAATGTATTTATTAGTTGTTTTTGTTTTTAATTTATTTTAAATTTAAATTTTGTTATTTTTTGTTTCATAAAAATAGTTTTTTATATTCAAAGTAATGATTTAAAATGAAAAATCATTGTATATAACACATTGGATGGTTGTCAATTATTTTTAAAAAAGGAAATTAGAGATTTAAATCAATCCTCCCAGCTGAGAGTTGAAATTTGAATCTTTCTGGTAAACGACGGAGAGCCTAACTCTTACACATATGTTCGTAAATTTTTGGCAGAGGACAAATTAGGCGGCTATTTTGTACTGTATCTAAAGTTTTAAAATATGCTAATTTAAGTTTAACTTTGTTTTAATAGGTATTTTTCTTTTTTGGGAGAGAAAAGAGTGAAAACATTAGTGAGAAAGAAATATATCCATCTTAATAATTAAAAAGTGTCTTTTACAGAAAGAAGTAAAACAATTTTTGTTTAATTTTTTTATTAATAATATTAAGAAATGTTAATGAGCTAATTAACCATGCATTTTGGTGGTTAATGATTTTAACCAACTAAATGATTCAATGCAAAGTAAAATCTTTGCTTTAAAAGCATATCATTATCGCTCAAAAATTGCTACTAAGCACCTATATCAAACTGAAATTATTGAAGATTTTCAACCAATAATGTTCATTTGAAGATAAAGCAAACTTTTCTTTACATTGAAGAGTTAGCATGAAATGTTAGTATTATAAGCTTATTGATTTTTTTTTAATAAAATTGTTTTGTCTTTTTTTTTTTCATTCCAGAGAAACCAAAGTAAACCAGAATGTGGTCGACAAACTCTTCAGGAGTTGTTGATTAGACCTGTTCAGAGGCTACCCAGCATAATTCTTCTACTCAATGGTTTGTAAAAATTTTCAATAATATAATGGTTAGTGTATCATTATATTTTACTCCAGCTGATAAAATATGAATTTGATAGGTTTCTTTTTATATCAAATTTAAATGAATTGCGCACAAGGTTGTATTAAAAAATATATAGCTATTTTATTTTTGTATTTAGTAGTATTTATTTTTTTTAATATAAAAATAGTTTTCTTTGTAATTAATGTGTAATTCTAATTAAAGACTAAAGTAAAATGTGAATTAAGGGAGGATAAAAGAGATCTTGTATCAACAAGTTTATAAATCTTTAGACATATATTAATAAGTATGTAATATATTATTTGAATTTGATAGATTAAAGGAAAATTATTTACTCTTCCACTCATATAAGCATATACTGACAGAAAAAGTTAGAAATATATACTGGCCGAAGACTTCTGCAATTTTAACACTTTGATTTCATTTTCTTTTATACAAAATATCATGAAGTATTTTTTATGCATAGCTTTATGTTTTAGATATTTTAAAGCATACCTCAAAGAGCAATCCAGATTTTCAAGCACTCGAGAAAGCTGTACAGGCTTTAAAAGATGTTCTAATGTAAGTGACAGTCTTAATTCTTTTTTATTAATGAACAAAATATGAACTGTAGCCTCTTTTCTAATCATTCTTTTTGTTATTTGCCAATAAAAATAGATGATTCTGCAGCTAAATACTAAATTGTTTCTACTTAGTTTAAATATTTGATATTTTGTGTATCTGCAGGAAAGGTGTATTAAAATTGCTTTTTGAGTATGAGCTGTAATTTGATGTCACAAAAAGGAAGGGAAACGCACTACAGACAAGATCATCTGTAACGTTACGAGCTTTCCCTCTTTTAGAAATCTAAAGAAACCGCGGTGCTTTTTATTATTTTTAAATGCCTGACTGTACAAGTATATTTCAGAGTGGCGCTCCTCATCCATTGTCTAATATTACATTACCGTCTTTTTTTGTTGTAAATTTTAGAATTTCATTTTTTACTGTGTATTTATTATTTTAAGTTGTGTTAAATTTATAGTAATGTTAGCTTGTGTTTTGCGTTTCAGGCATATCAATGAAGATAAGCGCAAAACTGAAGGTCAAGTCGAGATGTTTGATATTGTGAATGATATTGACAACTGTCCTGTGAGTAAACACGTTTAAGTGTCTTTTTTTTGGGGGGGGAAGAAACTTTTCTACATTTATTAATTGCATTATATTAGTATAAATGTTTTTTTTAACTGTGTTTCATGATACTTAAATGACCTATACCTAAATACTAATGGCAAATGAATTATTCTTATTTTGTTTCAGCCTAATTTATTGTCCTCTCATCGTAGTCTAGTCACCAAAGTTGATACTCTAGAAATAACGGAATTACTGAGTAAAAAGAACTCTACTGTATCTATGTTCCTATTTACTGATGTTTTAGAGGTATTCTTAACTTACATATATATATATATTTCAAGTTATTCTTATTTAAGGTGATATTTTAGCTTTTTGTTACCGAAATCGGTTTTGCGATTTATTTGAAACAATTTGAATAAATTCATTTTTATTTTATAAAATTGCTTCTTAACTTTATTTAATCAAGGGTCTGTCTAGGTTTTTCTGAGAGGTACCTACTTTGTGAAAATTAAAAATTATTTTAAAAATCAACAAAAAAATATGGATTTATCGTTTTTTACAGGACACAAAAATAAAATTTAAAAAAAAAGTATTTTGTGAAACTACCATTTTTCCTAAAGTTGAATTTGTGAAGGTCCGCGAAACGGTAGTAAATTTAGCCTGGACAGACCCCTGAGTACATTGCACAACCTAAAAAGCAGAACAGCTTAATTTTTTATTTAATGATTGGACTATCATTTGCTTATATGCAATCTTACTAATTCACAAGATTGACTTTAAACAGGCTAAATTGTTCTGCAAACAATTTTTTAAGTAAGGTAATTGAATCCAGAAATGTATTTTCTTTTCAGAAACATCTATCTTTTTTTTTTTTTTCTTTCAATCAATCTGGATTCTTGACCCTTAAAGTATGGGGTTTGCTGCAATTTGAAACATTTTGTCCTTAACAGTTTAGTCAGGAATGCAGTCAAAAGTGTGAATAACTTAATGTTAATTCTTCTCATGTGAATCAACGTTAATTCTTCTTATGTGAATCAATGATAATGCCTCTCCTGGAAAAATGTTAATTCCTCTTAATAAATCAGAAAATATTTGTGCACAATTATAAAACTTGTGTATATCCTCACTAGAATTCATTGACATGTGCTAAATTTTGATAAGCTTTATAAATAGTTGAACAAGCTGTAAGATTGTAAAATACTATACCAATTCAAAGGGGGGGGAATTCAATTTGTTCTGAATAATCTAAAGTTTAAAGTTGAATTTAAATATTTTCTTGATGCTTAAAATGCAATTTTGTTTCTCTTTGTTTTTTTAGCAGTAAAATTTATAAAACAGAGAATTTTCTATTTAAAGTGGCATCTCTAAAATAAATATTAATCAATTATCTATTTCTTAAATGTTTTTTTTTTTTCTTTTAATATGTATATGACCTTAAAATTTGAGTTTCCCCTACAATATCATATTCAATTTAACTGTATACTAACTGTTTATTGTAGGTTTGCAAAAGGCGTGGCAGAGCCACTGTAAACACATTGAAAAGCCCTGGAGTGGTCAGTTTAACTGCAGCTACCTCAAAATCACATATTAAATCATACAAGCATATTGATTTAATCCCCTTGTCACACATTAAACGAGTAGTAGACATCACAGAAACTGATGGTAAGAACCAAATACAGTTGAAAAAATAAAATTGTCGGATAATGGGGTGTTTGTATTTCTTGATTTTGTGAGTATATAGTCATTAAACTATGAGTAAAACTACTCAAAACAATTAATAACTAAAATAAGATTTATTAAAACCTCTTATTTGTGTTTTACTTTTCTATTTTAAATAAAGATACAATTTGAAAAAAAATTATTGACAATTTTTTATTACTGGTATAATACAGACATCCCGATGAGAGGCTAAACTATGTCACTTGACATAGTATTTTAAAGTATGAGCTAAGCTATGCATTTGGATGATCAATCATCCAAATGCAGAATATTGTTGTTTTTTAATGGTTTAAACTACTATTTTACTTTGAAATGAAATGAGTTCCATTTGGTTTCCATTAGCGACTTACTGATAAATTTTCAGTCGGCTATTAAATATAGTGATGCCAGATACAAGCATTTTTTGTCTTTTTCTAATAGTCACAGCAGTTATTGGATTGTCAGGTTTAATGATGTAAAGTCCAGTAATGGTTAAGTAATTGAGTGACATCAGCTGTAATAATGATGGCATGTGTTTAACGTATATCAAAAGAGGCGTCATATAACCGAAGAATAGGGTGATTGGACGCAAAATAATCGAAGTTCTCTTTTATTTCTAATTTTTAAAATCACAAAAAGAATATTTAAAAAAAAACATATACAGTGAAACCTCTGTTAAGCGGACATTCATGGGACCAAAAGATTTGTCCGCTTATGAGAGTTGTCCGTTTACGGGAAGGGTACCCTAATAACGAAATTTAACACCGTAAATTGTTTTTAGAATATTCTAAAGATGTAGAAATAATTAAATAATATCTACAAGGATACTGTAAATATCTACAAGAATATTTATTTAAACAATAAGAAAGATAAAAAAGAATATATAAAGAAGTTTGATATAAATACATAATTCTGGATGTAGCTACAGATAAATAAATATAATTTTCCTATTAGCATAGATACTCAAGTTAGACATATGATACCAAATAGGAGCGTACTGTCCTCAGTCCGTTTCAATTATTAG